AAATTTCATATATAAAGAAAGTTCATACAACACTGATAAACAAACAATACTTATCTGAAAACTCTTTCTCAAAGTAAATCTTTTGTAGTCTTTCCTTAGAAATGCAGGAAGAACATATCTCTCACTTTTCTCCTTCTCCAACACTCTTACAGAAAGTTTCACACTAAATCTCACCACAAAAACTCTAAACTATGAAAGCAAAATCACTAATTGGCTCCAACATGGAAGTGGAATGGAATGATGTGGTGCGAAAAATGAAAGTAGAGGAGTGAAAAATATAGAGGAGCACTTTTTCTAATGAAATTCAGCCCCAAATAGAGCCCAAGGTCGGTTCTCCAAGAGGTGCCTCCAAAAACTCTTCAAAAAAAATCATCCAAATACATAACAAAAAGCATAAACCCTACTATAAACGGGGTCTGCACCGCCTTTGGCTCCGTCGGCGCTGATCTGGCTCCGTTGGCACTGAGTAAAAAAATCTCCGCGTTAATTTGTTCTGCGCCGTCGGTGCTACCGACGCTGAGCATTTCTGCAAAAAAGTCATTTTGACTCCAAATTTCATCCCTTTTGCTTTCTTTTTGCTTTAAGCCCTAAAAATCAACAAGCTGCAAGAAAACATCAAAATATTTTCCATTAAAGTGCAATATCATCAAAAATAGGTATAAAATATGGGTCTAAAAATGCATATATTTTTGGTGTATCACTTTCTACTCTCTTCTACGTTATTCCACATTCCATATAGCCACTTAGAGTCCATTAGTCAATTATTTTTCTTTATAGTTTTGAGTTTTTGTGGTGAGTTTAAGTGTGAATTCATCTCTAAGAGTGTTGTAGAGGGAGAGAAGTAAAAGATTTCTTCTTCCTACATTTTCTAAGAAAGGCTGCAAGGGATTTTTTTTGTGAAAGAGTTCCAGATAAGTGTTGTTTTTTATTATTTTTGTATGAACTTTCTTTTATATATGAAATTTGTGTTTTGTTATTTCTTTCTCATGAAGTTTGAGTAGTTTCCTTTATCTTTCTCCCTACTCTGAGATATGGTGAAATAGAACGATAATTTGGATGTGTCAATGTTAAAATATAAAATAAATTGTGAAGGTTTATCAACTCCATTGTCAATTTACTTTTCGATCTAGTCAATTGAATTGTTAAAATATGTTATGAAACATATAATTTAGGAAATGGAGTATGAGTTCTACAACAGAGTGAGAATCACATTTAAATCCATAGAGGAGTGTTTTGTTCATTGAATTAAGTGCAAATAAATAGGAAAATATACATTATTGGGCGTTTAATTGGAGATTTTAGGGTGACAGACTAAAATCTTCAATTCGGTCTTAGTGTTTAAGAACTAAAGCGAGAGTTAGTCTTCAGGGGAAGGGAAGTGGGAGCTTTGGAGTGAGAGCCAATATCCTCCTAGCCTAGCCACGGATTTAGGGACTAAATCTGAGATTAACGATTGATTTTCTATAACACTGAATCAGGGTAGAGAATTAAAATTGCTCATATTTGACACAATACTTATTTAAACCATTTATTTCATCTCATTTCACCAAAAATTTATTGTAATGGGAAAGATGTTTTTTCATATTAGAAAACTCATCACATAAACATAGTTTAGTAGTTACTGTTTTAAACTTTGTATTTAAATTTTACTAGCAGTTAATAATTTAGTTATGATAGTATCTCAAACATTCAAAATTAGTGACAGTAATTTCATTTTATTTCTGTGATTTTTCTAGTTAATTTATCATTTCAAATTTAAAGCTTCCTCGTGGGATTGATAATTAGGGACTTAAATAGAAAGTCTTATATTACTTGATAACGATATGTATACTTGCGTAGAATCCCAACATTAAGTGCTTAAACGTTCTTATTCATAAAATACCACATCAAGATTTTGACACCATTGTAAAGCGGAGTCAGCTTTATAAATTTTACACAACTATATTTTCGGGGATCAAAGGAGAAACACCTCCAACTCATATCTATAAAAAGTGCTAGTAGATAACTTTTAAAAAGCATCTGAGACATTGCTATTTACAAATCTAGCACCCTCTTTTAGTCATTTTTGAAGTTCTCAATTAGATATCAAAATTCATGATAAAGAACCAACCAAAATTTTTCATTTTTAACATATTCAAAATGGTTTGATTGTGGCACAAATAAATACGGCAGTTCGACACTTCAAATACACCACCTCATTGTTGACTTTTTCAAACCTTAAAATTAAATATTTATATATTCCAAAATCACATAAATTATAAATGCAGAAAACTAACAGGTCAATTTGCATAAGAACTTAGATGAAAGATTGAATCGAGATTATCTTTGATTTAACTTTAAGAAATCACAATTTGGTGCACCATAGCAAAAAGTTCAACAAAGAGAGTGTTCGTGGGTTCGGCGTTCGCGAGAGGCGGGAGGAGAAGAAATATGAGAATTTTCACATCGGTTCATTATTTATAGACTTTCTGATCACTTACCTACACTATATACAATGTTATTAATTAGTTTTTAACACAAAAAATCGTAGACTTTATTTTACAATGACTTGTGGCCATTAGTTTATAATTTGCAATGAGACAATTAGAAATGTTTTTTACTAAATAGCTCCACCTTTAAGAGTAGAAAAGCCATCAGAAATTTTGCTTCACGAATACCGTCGGTACTCTGTCAGAATTTACCTTGTTATTTCCGACGCAAGAAAAACCGTGGGATATTCCTCCGAGATTAACCGTCCTTCCGTAGTGGGCTATGTGGTTTTCCTCTTTAATTTTTCATATATAAAGCCTATGTTCAAACACATCTTAATCATTTATTTCTCAAACGTATTTGTGAGCATTCGTTTTTATCTTAGTACTGACAAGGTTTCTAGCTTGCAACAAATTGCAACATTTAATTCTTTAACTACTATATTTGAATGTTAATTGTCGAAGTATTTGTAGATAATTAGATAACAACATGACATCATTGTGCTTATTCATGAAAACTCATCGCTCAACTATTGCAATACACATGCATAACGATTACCTTCCCTCATAGGATTCCATTATTCACAACGCTCAAGGACAAATCTAAATGAATAAATAGGTAATCAAACAAGTCATATTCATAATTTATAAGTCTTTTCCCCACCAATAATTCTATGAAACCAACAACTCAAGATATGAAATAAGAACACGAATTAATCAGTACAAATCATTAGAATATGGCATCAAATCCTCCATAATAGATTGTATAAAGACTTGCAAACAATTTCTAATTCACGCGTTCGGTTTAGCTTTATTTTATGATGCCTTCTAGTCGATGCATCTTGCTTGTATGGATTCGTGCGATTCCAATGCAGAACAATGGCCAGTTGGGGTTGTCACACTCATTTCTTAATAATTGAGCTAAGAAAACGTTTCAACCAATCTGGTAAATATATTGAATATGTGCAGTTTCGTTAATTTGTGATGCCATAAATAATTTTCATTAGAGTGATTTAAACTTGAGCCACAAATTTTTTCCTCTAACAATTTACTATTTTAAAAGCAAACATGCTGAATATAGAAATAAGTGTCTTTAGCTTAATAATAATTTTAAAATTAATATTATATATGTATATATATATATATATATATATATATATATATATT